GAAAGAATAAACTAGTTTTATTTAAGAAAGGACTTGTATCGTTGAAGTTCATCGGAAAGAATTTATACCGGAAATTAACAAACGAACAGAGACGAAACAATATAATTGTGCAGTTGAAAAAAAATCCTTGGGAAAATCTCTGTCCTAAACAATTTGTAGCAACCTATAACACTGTACAACAAGAATTTGCTACCATAGAAAATTCAAGTGGTTTGGTGTATTTTGATGGTGCTGATTTCAAGTTGTAGTCATAATTTCTCCATTGCCTCTAGATCTTGAGTTATTGTAATATCTTAATATTTTATCAGCACTATGTGAAATACCATGTAATTAACTTGGTATAATAGATTTATAGTGTGAAATTAAGCTTACTTGAGCAGTCTTAATGGATAAGGCATACATTTTTGATAACTTCAAACACTGACTTTATTGTATTAGTGTAAAAATTCTAAGTATGGCATGTGTAATGTACAGCTATGAACTAATGTTTACTTTATTATTATTTATTTCTTTTTATTTCGTGTTTTGCTGACCACTGTCAATGACATTTAATCCTGCTTTTTTTACTAATGGTAGTAGTACAGTAAATAATTTTTATTTAATTAAATAATGCAACAAAGAACATAGAATAATAAAATGCAAAAAGCAGACAATGTCCTATATGTCCCATAACTATCAAAATTATTGTTTTTTTTTTAAATTTCGCTCAAAGCTACATGAGGGCTATTTGCGATAGCATTCCTAATTTAGCAGTGAAAGATCAAAGGGAAGGCAGCTAGTCATCACCACCAATTGCCAATTCTTTGGCTACTCTTTTACTAACGAATAATGGGATTGACTGTCACATTATAACTCCCTCACAGCTGAAAGGGCGAGCATGTTTGGTGGGACGGGGATTCAAACCTGTGACCCTCAGATTGAGAGTCGAGCTCCCTAACCACACGGCCCTTGCTTTCTGACTATGTGACAAGAGCTGTTACTAAGTCATCTAAGCTAATTGATATCTTTTTCCTGGGAGTGAAGCTTATACTAATAGAGAAATTGACAATTCTCTATGCAGAAAGGGCCTGGCATGAGCAGGTGGTTAGGGCACTTGACTCTCAATCAGAGGGTCGCGGGTTCGAATCACCCATCCCACCAAACTTGCTTGTCATTTCAGCCATGGGGGCATTATAATGTGACATTCAATTCCACTATTCATTGGTAAATTAGTGATGGTTAATACGGATAGCCTTCGTGTAGCTTTGCACAAAACTCAAAAACAAACTATACAGAAAAGAACGTAATAACATGTCATTTCATGTATGAAAACTTTGGCCTTCTGTTGGTTATAAATACTATAGTATTATTACGACAGCGGAAGTCGCGTGATGCTAGTAACACATCATGAGCTTCTAGAAAATTCATGTCCCTTCGTGCAGCCTCGAGTGTTTACTAGATATGCGGTATTCTTGTATATAAGACTGCCAAGAATTGACGGCAAGAATGCAGTTGAATTGCAGACAGAGATAGAGACGGACAGTTGGGTCGAGCGCGTGTGTCGTTTGTTGTGAATTATAGCGTTTGTTTAAGTTATAGTGTGATTGTGGGAATAAGATAGTTTCAAAGTTGTATTGAGAAAGAATAAACTAGTTTTATTTAAGAAAGGACTCGTGTCGCTAAAGTTTCATCGAAAAGAAATTATACAGGAAATTAACTAACGACCAGAGACGTAATCGTATTAACCTTGAGAGAGAACTATTAACAAATTCTGAAAGGGAGGATGTGATGGGTGTGTGTGGCAAGAGAGGTCTGATTTTCTATTTGATGGCTCTGTAACCAAACAAGATTAAAGGCTTGGAAAAGTATCCTTTATTTGAGTGGTGATGATATTATAATGAGTAATTTACTTAAATTTGGTAGTTATTGGAGCAATGGTGAACAAATTAGAGAAGAGAGGATGCCTAGAGAAAAAATGTCACACGTCTCACACTAGGGGAAATTAAGGATATTTTTTTAAATATTTCCTTACAAATTTAAGAAGGTGAAAATATGGATAATTAGCTACAATTTTGCTTCATACAGTGTGGCTCATAAGTACATTTAAAAAAAAATTGCTATCTGGCCCACACTGTAGGATATTGCATATGTCTGTTTTAAATATATTATTCGTATATGCTATTTGTTCTCAATGTAATTGTATCAAATTGCACCACTTTTGTTTCTTTCCCATGCTTCCGTTTTCTGACTGAGAATTATGAAACCCTCAGATACTCTGTTTGCTAGAATATCCAAGAAGTTCTTCAGCTGAACATAAAAGAGGTGGAGTGAAATGTCTCTCACTTGCTCCATTGGTCACTTCGCACCGCTCCACGCACAGTCAAAACAAAGTCCGATCTTCCTTGCATTATATTTGCAATATAACAAAATTCTGCAAAACTTTGTTTAGTAAAATGTTTTAAAACCTCTTTCTTTAGAAATATATTCTTCTCTATTTTTCTATAGAAAATTATTTGAAATGCTAGCTGTCTCCAGTTCAAGTAAAGTCTGAAAATGCAAAAATCCCCCCAAAGAGTTTTTGTTACATTTGTGGAAAATATACTATAGTTTCATGAAGTAAAAACATCCCACGTAAGGTAAAGGTAGCTTACTACCACTATTTTGAGTGTAAAATTGGTGACGGAGAAAAACGTTGGGAGCCACGTGTTTGTTCTTCAGTGGCTGAATAAGAAAAGATAAAGTATTCCATTTGCAGTTCCCGTTATATGGCATGAGTAATGTTTCTAGATATTCTGGCAAAACTAAGCAGTACCTTAAATATTCAGATATTGCATCTACAATGAAAACAAGTACATCGTGGGGGATGGTCTTCCAGTGCCACATCCACCAGTGAATTGGGAAATGGAAGAGTTATCCTGTGAAAAAGACTATGAATCATCTTCATTCTCTTCATCTAGTAATTCTATTCCTGTGGTATCTCAACATAAACTGCCTCATCTCATCACTCAACCATTAAATGATCTAGTTCGTGGCTTGTCTCTATCAAAGCAGCATGGCAAACATCTTGGCTCTCGTTTACAGCAATGGAATTTATTAGCTCCAGGAACAAGAATTTCAATTTACCAAAGTCTCCATCAAAAGCTTGCTTCTCACTACAGCATGGAAGATACTTTGTTTCTGTACAAATGTTGATGTACTAATAGAAGAATTAGGTACTGAACATCATCCTCAAGAATGGAGACTTTGCATCTACTCATCTAAAGTTAGTCTGAAAGATTTTGCCCAATGGGAACACTAAGCCATGGATTCTTATTGAACATGCTGTGAACATGAAAGAATCTTATTAAAAGCATGTAGATCATACATTCTTAAATGCAATTTTCAATGAATAAATAAAGTTGTATAAAGAAAGTTATTTTCACAATATATATATATATAAGAATATTTTAAATGAATTTATCATAACTCAAACTAAAGGTAATCAGTAATTTTCAACATGATTTTTAGAATTGGCGTAGTCAAATTATCTGGAAACATTTGCATTATTTCTAGTGGCAGAAATTTTTTTGTTGTTGTTGCCCAGTGTAATTTGTAGATTATCAGCTTCATATATAACATCCACTCACCTTTTTTTTTTATTCTTGTATAGCAATCATGGTTCACTTCAGCTACTTAAGTGAAGAAGAACAAGCTCAGCTGCGTAAAGTAGCTGAAGCTATTGTGGCCCGAGGCAAAGGGATCTTGGCAGCTGATGAGAGTACCTGTAAGTATATACCACCTATTTGTTTCTAATAAACTAAGCAGCAGCCTCACCACTAGTGAGTTTTGGAAAGATGAAGGCTGCAACTTAACTTTATGTTAATATTCCTTGTTTAAAAGCTAAAGCCAATTTTATTCATAGCTACACATTTCTCCCATAAAGTTTGATCTATTTCCAAAATTAGGTCTTAGTATAAAATAACTTTTTGCCTCTGTCTTTGTACATTTTCACATTTCAACAACCTGTAGTATTTATTGTGTATGTGTGAGAGAGAGAGAGAGAACTTGCATGTTTTTTCCACTCTTGACTTAAAAGCTTCATGCCTTCCTGTATTATTTCCTTAAATATTAAGCTCTTCTTAATGGAAGATCTTTTAATTAGACACTAAGAATTGCACAAACTTAATTTTGAATTAAAACTTTTTATCCTTGTGATAATTTCTCAGCTACCATGGGCAAAAGATTGGCTGGTATTGGGGTTGAAAATACTGAGGAAAATCGTAGGCAGTTCCGTCAGCTTCTTTTTACCTGTGACCAAACAATGGGAGAGAACATCGGAGGAATTATCATGTTTCATGAGACACTCTACCAAAATGCAACTGATGGTACTCCATTTGTTCAGCTGATCAAGAACAAAGGAATAATCCCAGGAATCAAAGTGGACAAAGGAGTTGTTCCCCTGATGGGTTCAGACAATGAATCGACAACACAAGGTGTGGGCTTGTTATTTGTCATGTATACAAACTGTAATTGAAGGTTTCAGGGTGAAATAAGTTAGGATTAATTTCAATTGATTGGAGAATCCAGTTATTTTTGGAATAATTTTACTGAAATTTGTTTTAAATCCAATAAGGCTCTCAATAGCAGAGTTTGTTGCAGAAGTATAGCAGTTCAGAGATGTCTGTAAAGTAAAAAAACATTTATGGTAGTGATTATTCTTGAAAATAATAAAATGAAAATCAAGTAAATAAAGAATAAAAGTCATAAATGTTTTGGTTATAATCATGTGATATAGCTTGCATGCTGCTTTTA